ATGTGATTTCTTGCGACGTTGCCACAGGATTAACTTAACCTAGTGTGCTTTGTACCCTTCTATGACAGTTGCTTCCATCAATTCGAAGATTATTGGAAAATCTCACCGTTTTTTTGGATTTTCAGAGTAAGGGCATAATATTCATAAAAAGATCATTGCTGCACCAATCATAATAGCATCGAAGGTTTGCAAGAACACAGCGGTCTTCTAGCTATATGCCACATTGTCAATGCCGGTCCTTGCAGAGAATGAAAATCTACAGACTTAACTGATGAAAGAAAATGAGGTTCATTAACTGTTTCTCCATGAAAGGAAAAAGACTAAATTGTGTAAAAGGCCGGACATACTTTATGCGATTTCAATCGCGACGCGATTTGGCGCTGTCAAAGGCTTTCTCGTAGTCGACAAAGGTTAGGACGAGAGGCAGTCGGTATTCTCGGCAGACTTCTATAACCCTCGAAACCGTCTGGATGTGGTCTATGCAGCTGAATCCTTCGCGAAATCCAGCTTATTCTTGGGGTTGGGCTTTATCCAGTGTCCTAGATATGCGTGCGAGGATAATCTTCGTAAAGATCTTGTACAGCACACTCAGCAGGCATATTGGACGGTAAGAAGATCTTCCCGTTCACCCTTCTTAAGAAGAAGGACGGTTCTTGACGTTCTCCACTGGTCGGGAATCCTCTCCTTCTGAAGGTAAGATGTCAGGTGCGACGCGAGATTCTCGTGTAGTCCTCCGGCTCGCAGAAATTCGACGGAAAGAAGATCTGGTCCTGGAGCCGTGGTTGTCTTCATGGTCTGAATCGCCGTGCGCACTTCAGCACTTTATTAAACAAATCAGCAATTTACAGCGAAATCAAAATTATATTCCTCGTTGTAGCGCACGACCTCTTAGCACATTCTTATTAGCTTTTCAATTTCACTTTTTCGAACGGCAGCGCGCCGTCCCAAGAAAGCCATCTAACCAGGGCTCAGACTACTTACCGAAATCGAAACAGGCACCTTTCATGAGGTTTGCTAGAGAGCGGAGCAAATAATAATCTGATAGAGCGAGATTTGGAAATTACTTTGGGTACTGAAGTATCTTTCAGTCACATCGTGCAGGATAGTTTTGACGACGTTTGCCTTATGAGGCCATGTTTTGTTAAGCAGAAAAACTCACTGGAACTGTCTGTTAGGCTTTTTTTGCATAGAACCTGGTTTAGATGGTGCAGTCGGTGCTTACCGTATGGTTGGCTATCGTCTACTTGTAAAGCAATTTTCAGTGAGGACGCATTGCCCGTCCCCCGGAAAGTCTTGTTCAGGGACATACTGCTCAGCCCCTGATCTTTTGTAGCAATCTGATCTTTTTTGTCTCACATTGACGTGCGAACGCCATGTTCCATAATCGACAGAAGAATCTGTGCAAAAGCGCTTCTTTTCTTAAGGGAAAATGCGAATGTCGAAATTGCTCCTTTTTGCCTCTCAAGATTTCTACCTTTGGAAGCTACGAGATACGAGTAAATCAGCTTTCCATCAAAGTCAGTAGAAATATTTCAAAAAGCACAATCAGTCCTTCCAAATAATACACGCATCTTGCCGCAAATGAACCGCTTTTCAAAAATATGAGGACGAAAATAAAAACGCTATAAACTTATGGAACGACCTAATAAGTTTTTCAAATTAAACATTTGCGAGCACCTATCAAAAAAACGCTAATTCACGTAATTTGATAGGTAACGGATTGGATAAGCCAGCAGGTGGCTGACCTAGCCAATTTCGCCTAACCGAGCTGCACAGTCAATTGCCCACGTTGGAGCACTGCAGAAATATAGCGCCTGCGTCTGCTTAGGTTTACATCCTATACGGAAACTCTTATATAAACGGGAGAATGATATCAGGTTGGATTATAAGCCTTCCAAAAAAAAATACAGGACATTTTTTGAAGATTTGCATCAACTTCTATTTAGCAAAGTCTGAGGCCAAAAGTAGAAAGGTCCAGATGCCTAAAAAACAGAAAAGGCACAACTCCGTTTCAAAAAAAATTCGCGAATATGCAACTTGCTCAGTATGTTCTCGTTGCATCAGACATTCATGCACTTATCTTGGCTAAAAATCGAAGAAACGAAGATATCCTTGATTACGTACAACCTTAACACTTGAATTCTGTAACAAGTCCATAATACATTCCTTGGCCGGTACCGTTTTTGTAATCATCGTTATATTATACTAGCTGGCTTACCCGGCTCCGCCCGGCCCGGTCAATTCTATGATTAAGGTCTAATCCCTATCCCTATAGAACCTTTCATTGTGCCCACTTCTACATGCAATTCCCTCTTCCCGCTGTGTTAGTAATTAGCATGCCCACCTACTCCCTCAACAACCCCCAGCCCCGTAGCTCAAACTTGGCAAAAAAAGCAATAACACCGGTAAAAGTAAGGATAATTTTGAAAACTGATAACGCTATTTGGCTATCCGGCCCAAAATGTTTTTGTGATGAATCTGGCTCAAAGTCGGTACATGGGGATTATTAAAGCCGCTGATAACGAATGTCGTAGTAGTCATTTCGCGCGATACATTTTCTGGGTTTAGTTGGGTACACATAAGAAGATAAAATTATGGATTTCGCTGAAACTTTGAGGGGGGGGGGGGCTAATTGACATGCTGATTACGAATATCATTTTCCTTCGGCATTTTGAGGCAATTTCACTGAGTTATGGTAGGATACTGCAGAGGGGCGAAATCTCAGTTTTGGCTGAAACTCGGTCCAGAGAGGTTCGATCTTCTGACCACGTCTAAAACACTCTCGTTGCGTTAAACCCTTTCGCAGAGTTACGGTAGGTACATGACAGCGAGTAAAAATCAAGAACTTGCCTGAAACCTTGGCAGAAAATTAGCTAAAGTGCTGATTCAAGAATATCGTGCTCAATCCCCACGACAAAGGCAATTCGTGTGGTATAAATGTTTACCACGACCGTAGTGCTTTCCCTTATAGGACCGCTGCCGCGCGCGATACACCCTTTGGCGGCTTTTGCCTAAGCAAAAACAGGAGAGGGAAATTTGCCGCGTGCATTACGCGTTGGGACAGGTTATCAGGTGGTGAACTCTGCAAAAAATCGATAAAAATCTATAAAATCGATATCGATCGATGACGAAAAGTAGCCTATGACACCCGCCGGATCCCGAAGTGTATGTGTGCCAAGTTTTGTCAATCTATGCGCTCAAAGATGTTTCAAATATGAGGTCAAAAGTAGGCTATTCACAAAAAATACTATGCTCTGAGAAAATGTCAAAAATGATGTAATATGCGACGAGTAACTTAGATCGAATTCTGACTGGATTTACAATACTCCAGAAGCTGACACTTACCTTTAGGACAACTCAAACCTGCAGCTTATTTACTTCCAATTATGGCTTCCACAAAAAGAACACATTGTTTTTGCTTTTTATGTGTTCAAATCACTACTTAGTCCTGCAGTTTCTGAAACAGGTTGACGAACCATTTACCATTGCGACTAGGAGGGTAGTTTGTCGCCCAAACAACATCATTTTCTACAGAACAGCCGTTTTGTTACAGGGCGTACTTGCTATATCGGCAGGATTCTCGCGCGGAAGCGACAGTCCTTTTGCTTCCTTTAATAGGCCGCCATCGCAGCTCTCGCAAGAAGCGACGTCGCATGCGGCGGCCATCGCGGCGATTTCTCGCCGACCGTGACTCCTGACCGTTCCCCCTTTGAGCCCCCTATCTTTTTTTCAGATACAACGTTAGAAGAGGACCAACGCAGATGGCCCTTTTCCGGGGCCTGCATTCAGGATCGACACTGATTGGAGGGGGTTAGGTTTAGCCTGGACGCTGCCTTTAAACCAGCAGGGACATAGTTCAAGACCGGCTAGTGCTATTTTTTTACTGTCACCGGCCAATTATTAATATTAATCACTGAATCGATAATGTTGCCATCAAAAGTTTGGCCCCTTGCAAAAGGAGATATAGAACGAGGGGGCGATATTTCAAATTGATTTTCATAGAAAACGATTTTTGGAAATAAGCAAATTTCTTTCGAACAACCTTTCAAGAAATATAGATTTGAATGGGAAATCCCTCTGCACCAAAAAGAATAACCTTGATTCTCATCCTTGCTGCAATCAGCTGTTCATTGATACTTTCTTGTCCCACAATCCGCAAAACAGCCATTTTCGCGCTGATTCTGTACACACTATTATGTCACTTCACGTCCCGTAAGTTACTCACAAGTAACAAGTCACGAAGCATTCTCATAACACGAGGGATTGCTCACTACAAGCCTCAAAATATTCGCAAAGACCCTCAGTTCAGATCGTCTAAACTGGGCGAGCGTTAATGCGGGCCTTTGCAAAACTCTTTCTCTCTCACTATATAAGACGGGATTCCAGCTCAGTTTAGCACGCCTCTGTCCAGTCTTTATTTCATCTAATTCAAAGATGTAGTATTGATGTGCTCTACAGAGCTGAAGAGAAGTGGCCGATTTCTGTGAAATTCGTATTGCTCGTAAGTGCAAAGAATGAGACAGCATTCATGGCGAGTTGTTTCCGTGTGTCTTGTTTACCGCTATAATCGCCTGCTAATGAGAATAGCCAGAAACCAAGCATCTGACTTTACTTGATTTTACAATTAGCTAGGCATAGTCGAGATTGGAGGCCGCTAACTTATTCATTTGGGAGACCCTCCAAGTAAGCATTCCTTTATTCGTAAATCGAAACTTATTGTTATTTCCAAAAGTCAAATCTGCAGACCATTTATTGTAAAGGTGATTGAGATTTACTACTGAATAAGTCTGTCCATTTTCAAAATGTGGTTCAGTAAAAGGGATCCGTAGAATTTTGAAACTGAGTTTGGATTGTTTTTTGTGCATTGAGATGTTTATCCGAGTTCTTGAGTCTTGAGTAAATGTATGGTCTACAGCTGCTTAAAAAGTGTAAAATGATTCTTTACAATACATGCTGCCAAATATTTTATGCATGAAACATTCACGCAAATAAACATGGGAGGTCAGGAGACATTGCATGAGATTTTGAAAAAGAACGTTTGCAGAATAAACAATCAAAAGAGAAATTGGAAAGCCATATAAATTATTTTGAAGAATAAGTAACCATATGCAGTGTCTGCAGTGTCTCCGTGTGTCTCATGTGTGTCGTATTGCCCTTTACCTGCGGCAATATTTCTTCTTTCCGAAATTGGGTTTTATCCCAGTGTTCTTCAAGCATTGAATACCTTCACTGTCACATTTGCAAAAAGCCGCTGCGCAACCGGGGTTTTCAGCTAAAGAAAGGATACCAGACGCCAAGCTAGATTATATCAAATGATACAACAAAAAATGTAAATGCAGATTTGTGTTGTGGAAATTGTGCTGTACGGGATCTCCCCACTTATCTCATTTTTGTTCTTATCATCTCGTTCTGAGTTAGTTAGTACCGCGAAACAAAATTATTTAGCGCTCGGTGACGAGAATTGAGAGCGCTTGTTGCTGCATCGAATCACAAATCAGTCTAGAATTGAAGTGAAGAAGGAATGCAACCGAATATTGTTCTAACTTTTGAAGTCATTTTAGTTTTTCACGTCACCTCACCTAATACTTTTAACATTTGATGGGCTGACAAATCTTGACAAGCAAGACCACCCAATTTGCTTTGTGCGACCCATTCAACATTTTTGGAAGCACAAAGAGCTATGAGCTTATGATATCTTCCAGCTTCTAATTCCTATTCCTCTTTGTCACGCCTTGGGTAACTTATAGGCAGCGGCTCGGCAGAATGGCAACTTTGGGATATTCATCGTTCTTGCTTCCCCTGAATGAGCTAAGTCCAAGGCTGTGCTTTGCAGCTTCAAATTATATCAATAACCTGCTTTTCCAGACGTGAAAAGTGCTATTTGGGCGGACGGCGTATGCCTGCCCTCTAGAGCGCTGGCTCAGGAGTGGCGATACCGTACCATCCACGCGGCAATTGAATTGTTGGTTGCAGCAGCCACTTTCGCAACCCCCGAACAGCACTTTTCACGTCTGGAAAAGCGGGTTATTAGTGTCTTTTGGCTACAAAGCATAGTCTTGGACTTAGCTCATTTAGGGAAATAGTATAATAAATATTTCAAAGTTGTCATTCTGCCGAGCGGCTGCCTTTGAATGGGAGAAGTGCGATAATTAGAGCAGGGCGGCGTATTCCCCGAAAAGAAAAGTATGAGAATGCGTGCATTTAGCCCGATATCACTCACGTCTACATATGGCCTGCTTGTTGACACAATCAAACTTGTACGGAAGGAAGTAAGGAAATTTGATGTAATCCACTCCTTTGCATATACCGCTACTCTCAGCCCTATTGTAGCATTGTTTAAGTTTAAAGCAGCACCTAGAAGTGATCTTTCATGAATATGACTGCGAATTTGGGACTGGTAGTTTTACTCACGCGTCAACGGCATCGATTGGTGCACCCGCACCAACTGTGCCGCACCAGCATCCATGACCATAGAGTTTCTGAAAAGCATGAAATTTCTGAGCAGAAACGTCAAGATGGTGAAACTTACGTTGATCCGGAACCCCAACACGCATTGGATCGCGAGATCGAGATTATCAAGCGACGGCACGACTGCGTAGACCAACGAGAGCAGAACTAGAACGATGTACATGTTCTATGACAATAAAGTGAAGAGCAAAGTGATACACTCTTTATATAGAGAGCGATGAGAACAAGTTGACGTCTCATTAGTCAATCTTTATGATAAGCGAATTTGAAGGGGTTTCGCGGTTGTCGCAGAAGAAATCGTCTTTTATGTTGCGCACTGAAGTCAGACCATCTGTACTGCTGCCTCCGATAATCTTTTGTGCCGAGAAAGAATCATGCTTTAGAGAATGACTTAGCACGAATCAGTGGGACCCATGTCTTTCAATGCTTAGTCATCCCCTCCATGCAAACTTAGGCCTCGGGCAGAGTTCAAGCCATTTTATCGCTTCGTCTCTAAACGAGACAACAGTTACAAGTCTACTGCATGCCAATCATTTTACATCTCAGCTGTGATAGCTATTCATGATTAGTTGTGTGAGAAAACTATCACAACCGAAATGCAAGACGGTCGGCATGTAATGGACTCGTAACTGTTGCTCTGTTGGAGAATCGCGAAGCGATGAAAACCTTGAACTCCACCCGAGGCCTTACACAATTTATTTTTTTTCTTTCATGGAGAGACAGTTAATGAACCTCATTCTCTTTCATCAGTTAAGTTTGTAGATTTTCATTCTCTGCAAGGACCGGCATTGACAATGTGGCATATAACTAGAAGAAAGCTGTGTTTCTGCAAAACCTTCAATGCTATTATGATTGGTGCAGCATTGATTTTTTATGAATATTATGCCCTTATTCTGGAAATCCAAAAAACGGTGAGATTCTCCAATAATCTTGGAATTAATGGAAGCAACTGTCATAGAAGGATACAAAGCACATTAAGTTAATCCTGTGGCAACGTCGCAAGAAATCACGTGGTAGTATCAAGTAGCATTAATGAGATTGTTGGCAATGACGAAAACACCAAAATCCGACTTAAAAGACAATTTACTCACAAAAAATAAGCATCTTTTTGAGTTTTCAGAAGACTGTATTACTTTTTAGGCAGAGAAGATGAAATCAGCATATTTGCAAATGAAATAAAAGTGGGGCACGCCTTTAATGCGCCTTGGAACGCTAATTCCCAATCTGTCTTCAATCTGAGCGGTTCTCCAATAAAACGTTGTGACGTTTTTAGCATCAAAATATGCACACAACTTTCCAATTTGATAAAAACAGCATTACAAGCAAAAAATATTATGGTAGGCAAGGATGACCTGTTTTAATTGAGTTTGTTTCAGAATTCCAGTTTCGACTATTTCGATGCGCCCACCTTGCACTGATGCGAAAAGAAGCTCATAGCCTAGTCTTGAGAGTGTGTCAGCAGATTGCGAAAGCAGTTTTGAGCCTAGCTCTTTGAGGCGCATTCTACTAAATTTTGTTTCATTAAGAATGGGCACGATCACTAAGTACTCTTTCCTGGCAAAATACACTGATTTTTGACATGTGGTTTTACACAGTTAATCTTTCCCTTTCAAGAAAGTGCTAAAGCGTTTTGGTCTGCAGCGTAAGTTAACTTAGCATGTAATTAATTCGGAAAACCCTGCCAAAATTCCCATTATTATGTTATTCATTTCATAGACTAAAAAAAGTTAGTAGTAGCCAACTGCCTTAACTTATCGTTGAAGCTACAGAGCTTATACTGTTAAATTGTGTAAATATTTCAGCAAGTTTGCTCAATAGTTGACTTGAACATCAGAAAATTCAAACATTTGAGTTTCTTTTCTTTTCTTTTACTTTTCTTTACTTTTAAGTTTACTTTTCTTAAGCGAACATAAAATCGTATATCCATCCGCTCCTCTCCCTTAAAAGGCCGACCTAATAAGAGAATGGTCTAAAGTCGTTTTGCCAAACCCCAGAACAGCTGCGTAATATTTGGTGCAGCGTAAAACGCTTCCGTTGAATTTTCCTTACTTGCTGAATCCCTCTCAAACGAAGCCAATTCTTCTACAAGAAGATTACTCATACGAAGTGCAAACTTGGACATGTAAACGCAGAGTATTAGGCGTACACTCGCTAGCCCATGATCTCCTGATGACCCCGGGCAGCAAAACGTCTTTTCTTCAGCAATTTTTCTTTCTTCGGAGTAAATGAAAACTTTTCGAAGATGTACTAATCGTCTAACCAACAATGCTAAGCATGTTGCTGATGAAAACAAATGCTGTGCTGGAGTCAACAAATTGCGATGAACCACATATTGAAAGTTGGGGTTATCAAAAAATTCAATATTTCAATAACTTAATTATTCTTATCAGCAACATGCTTAGCACTGTTAGGTTAGGTAAGCTGTGCAACTTTGAGAGGTTTTCGTAGACTTGAAAGAAGGGAAAACGACTTTGAAGAAAAAACGTTCGGCCGCTAAGGATCACCAGGGTGTTATACCATGAGCTGAAAAACGCGGCTTGTGCAGTTTCTTGATTCTGTTTATTATACCTCTAATGAAGGATGATGGAATGGATGATGGAGTACTTACGGATAGGTAGACAGCGTGAAATCCAGGTATTTGAAGCTTCAGGATATGAAGCTTTCTTTGAAGCTGCAATCCCTCCCCGGCGGGAATATTAATGCATGCGGCACTTGAACTACACAAAAATACACCTTCGGTTTGCATCACTGCATCTCAACTTCGATCAAAATGAATACCGCTTGTCTTATATGACTAGAGGAAAATGCTCGCAGGACACTTTAAGCTTCCATTTTCTTAAATTAAGTGAGCAAATCCGTAAATCGATATAAGGACCCGGTTTGCCGCATAAAATGGCCTATGTTTTTCTCTAGCGTCGAAAAAATGAGTGTGCACAGTTTCAGCTCTGTCGGTGCAGGGACGGTGCCATCTATAAGTTACATACACCCACGTACAATTATTCTGCTATATAACTATTAGGTTGTCCCAAAAGTAAACTCCATTTCCAAATAACTTGAGCTGTTTTTGTTTTTTTGACAGATTTAGGGTACCGTTCGGTGGAGCGCAGCAAGCTCTATAAAAAGACTGCCAAAGTTCCATCTAAGTTTGGCAACCTATCGGATCTGTCTGTACACTAAAGTATGCTGAAGGTCACCCTTATTTTCTCGCAACACCACTCTGCCCCTGTTCACACATTTTTTCACTGATTCATTTTTCACACAGTTTTTCGTAGCGCTTTTCAAATGGCCTGATCAGATTTTTGACGAATAGCAGAAATTGGTTTTTATGGTATATCTGGCATAACTTACGAAAAGCGTTATGGCGAACTGCGGGTTTCAGTTTGGAATTACCGCTCTGACAATCTAGTGTATAAGCTTTCAGCTTGTTTGGTTATGACCCTCTTCTACTACCACCCGTAATTTGTTAAAAAAAACTGGCGGTAGCATTTAACTCACGCGGCGCCGCCGCAGTTAGGTGACAAGCGCGTCGCGCGACAAAGTTAGGCAGAAAAGCGGCACTTGCCGCCTAACATTGTCGCGCAACGCCTAACTTTCTTTATAAAAAAGACCTTATCTTGATTCAAGATTTATGGATTCTATATATGAGAGCACCATTCAACTCAGCTCGGCGAGGCGCATCTTTTAGTGTACAGATGTGCCCAGTTGTGGGATATAGGTTTTTTTCGTGGAATTTCTGTGTAAATGGATCATTCAGTGTGCTGATTCCAGAGGCTACCTGCACATTCTGTTGAGCACTGCAGAAATAGGGTGACTATAATTTAAGAGCTCATTCTGCACGGATATGTGTAAAACTGGGCTTTTCTCGGCTATGTATGACGGGTCCCAAAACGCAGGAAGACAAAGGGAAATGTTTGGAAATCGCATGAGAAGCACATATCGCGGAATGCTTCGCGTGCTATGCAATGTACAATACCACCCACAGAATATTCCGGAATCGCGAAATTCCAGAAATTTCGCGATTCCGGAATATCGCAAATTGCAGCGCCATAACTTCCTTCGGGATGAATATATTCTAAGTCCGAAAGCAGCATTGTGTTCAGCTCGTCAAGGCGAATCTTTCGACATACTGATTGTCATCTATATCTCGTTTCCAGTTTTCTCAAATTTTTCGAGGAGGTCCCTTCGCTAGTATGTAACGCAGCGCCTACCCAACATAAAAGGTTCCAGTAAGTACCATTAGATAGTGCTCTTCTAGTACATTATAGTGCGCTAAAACGCTGCCGCAAACTTCTTTCCAAGAGAGAAAGAAGCGTTGGTAAATTCTGGTAAAATCATTCGTTTCCAGATTCTACTCGCAGTAACTTTCTTTGAAGTGGAAATTTTCTGAATCCGCAAAATGCATTGTGCTCAGCTCATCAAGGCAAATCTTTCGGTTTGCAGAATGTCCTTGATATCTCGATTTCAATATTCTTGAAACTTTCTGCGGACCTCTCTTCGCAAAGGTGTAATGCAGCGCGTATTGCCCCAGTAGATTCAGAAAGAAATTTTCGATAGTACTTTTTTTGTAGATTATGGGGCGCTAAGAATTAGCCGCACATTTCTTTCCAAAGGAGATAGAAGGGCTGGTGAATTCTGGAAAAATCATGTCGTTCTAAATTTTTCTCACCGTAACTCTAAAATATGAAGCTCTCTTGCTAAGCAGATGTGAATTTCGTAATCAGCAGGTCGGATAACCTCTATGAGCAAGTTTTCCGAGATGTTCGGGTAATTTTATTTTTTCTCGTTCTACGTTCTGAAGCTGACCGATGGATTTTGGTCAAAATATTGATGATCTTGAAATGTAAGGAAACTTCGCTTATAGAGGTTTTCGGACATGCTCTTTCTGACATGCTCTTTACAATAATCGTGGTCTTTGAGTAATACATGGTCTTTCTGCATAGATATGATGAGGTAAACGTGACGGAGTCACGAAAGTGCGTAATTTGCCCGCACTTCTCGCGTATCTGCCAGAGAACTTGCCGCGTCTAGAGATTGAATTCACTGGGACCTGTGCCATCGAATGGTGCAAGCCTCAGACTCCACTCTACAGAAATAGCCGAGTTACGAGTCTATGAAAACACATCCTCATGAAATTTGCCCAAATGTAAGATCGCATATTTCGTCGAAATTCCAC